TCGAATCGAATCGAAGATGACGACGATCGAAACACGCTCAACCCTCCGTGTTACCTGGCCGAGCAAAACAACGAAAAAGGACGAGTTTTGCCAGCCGAAACTAATCCGGCCGCGTCATCGGAAAATAAAAGAGACGCTATAACCGCGGTTTTTTTCACGGTTTCCGCGTAACACGCCAATTATCGTGTTTACACGAGCACGAGTGGCCGCCGATCCGATCCAAAGTATAAGTAAATAACGAACAACCGGTGTAACTTAGTTAAGCCTGTGTGCCTGCGCCCAGAAGACAAGAAGGGAGACAAACAGCCCGATGAACCTCTCCCGATCGGCTCGGGAGGAGGGACGAGGAGCAAGAGACACCGGTTTTGTGGGACGAAAAGAGGAAGAGGAATCGTGGAAGAAACAGGTGAAGAAGAGAGTGTGGAAGGGGCAAAGCCGGCGAGCAGGAGAGAACCACTAGAGAGGCGAGGTGAGACGGCGAGGAGAGAGAGAGAGAGAGAGAGAAGAGGGGAAGCAGGAGAGGAGGGAACGGGTGAACGGGTGAACGGCCTGCCGCGTCCTTGCGAACCACCTGACCACACCGGCCGTGCCGCCACCACTCGGCCTCTCCAGCATCCTTCCAGCGGTCCAGACTCGCCTTCCAACCGGCAAACGCACTCGGCTCGCCTACCGGACTCCTACCTGACCGATCGCCTGCCTCGATCCGATCCTCGACACCATTGTTCCCGAATCGCTGCTACTCCTTTGCCTCTCCCTTTGTCCACCTCTTTGATCAGCTGTTCATCCGCTGCTCCCCCTGTTGCACAACACGTCCCGACACTCGGCCACCTTCCTTCGGCGATTGCTGAAAAATGGAACGAATGAAAAAGAGATCAATTTTCATCGATCGTCAGCTTGGTTGACTTATTACGCTACAAGAAGAATGGAGCTTTTTATTTTGAACACGAGTTTTTGTTATTGAGCAAGGTTTGAGGAAGGTTTGATCTACAAGAGATAGGTATAATATCGCGTTACGAAGGTGCTGGACGAAACTTGTATTTCTACTATCCTGTTTCCAAACCCGTCCCGTTCAACCATGCAGCAATCCTACACGTCGTCGTGCATAACGTACTACGATCTGTCTCCTTTTAATTTAATTCTGTTGGACGAAATCGGTGGATAATTTCGAAGAACCGAGAGAAGAAGAGGTAGCGTAGTAACTGGAAGAGCGTTGTCACACACACGCGCGCGGCAAGAGGATGTAAGAGAGGATGGAAACGAGGTTGTTCCACGGCTATCAAGCTGTGATGCATGTGGGGCTGGAATATGGAGGTTCGGGCCCCATGCAGGAAACACAAGAGTTTTCGAAGCGTAATGTCACCATCGCGTTTTCGCCCACGCCCGTGGACTACAATAGGCGTAACAATGATCCCATAAATTGCCACGCGTGTGTTCCTCGCGATGTCTAGAAATCGGAGCACACCTGAATTCCTCGGCCCAATCTGTTCGCCCAGATAAATAATGGCGCTTTGTCCCACCGTTTCGTTTATCAACCGGCCATCTGGACACCGGTAACGACCGCTTCCGCTGATAACGCTCGCTCTTGTTGATTGGGAGAGGAAAAACGACGACGAAAATAATCGAAGAGAAAAAGAAAGAAGCCTGCTTCTTCGATCGCGGAAAGGAGACTCGTGTGACGGGGACCAAAAATGGTTGGCCGCTAGATTGTCCACGCGCTTCCTTATTTCTTAACAACGCCCACGCCTTATTAGCATATTAATGCAGTATAGCGGAAACTCGCGGCGACCCGCGCTTTCTGGAAGATCTGAATGGCGAGAACGGTCTTTTCATCGTTGTAGATCAAAAGAGGATTTGTATCTTGATTCCAGGCGAATGGCTCGCTCTTTGTGCGCTTGAAATAATCGATGACGTTGTGAAACGCTTCGTAAATTTCCTTCCTTCCTTTTTTTCAATCTATCCTATATAATAGATTTCTTTTTACTCTGCAATTTTACTTCGAAGGAAAACGAACGATGAGACACAATGATAATTAGACGAACAAGACGCTTCTCTTCTCGTGCAACGCAATGCTATCGAACCTGAAACCGGATTCAAAGTTCAATTCTTTATTCGCAATAAGAAAGAAACGGCCGATAGCCGGCCGATTTCGACGCGCCATTACGCTAAACGTTATTACAACTTCCCTCTTGTTACAACTGCTGCCGGCCAATACGAAACGCGCGCGATCGCGCCAGAAAAACCCGCTGCCCGCATGAAATATGGCCAGAAAATATGATTCTTCCTGCCGGTAATGGCGCGAACGTTACATTTATCAGGAAATAAGATTCGCCTTACGGGACGCGCGCGTGGTGGTGGAAGAGGAGGAGGAGGCGAGGAGGAGAAGAAGAAGAAGAAGAAGAAGGCGGGTGCATTATCGTCGATGCGTTCGCCATTACCGCCGGGCCACTTCTCTTACGTTCAACGAGTTGCAACGTAATACAAGCCGAGTTTCTGCTTGTATTTTTCCCCCGTCGTGCTATGCGTGGCTGACTAACACTTAACCACACCGTCCAGTGTTAATGCCCGAACATCGCTTTCCTAGCAGCTCGAAAGTGGCCGTTTAACGCCTCGTGCCGCCTTCGGCTACCGTGGTGGAAGCCTACCACCAGGCGCCGCGATCGACGAATTTATCGACCGCTCTATTAACGCGGTTACACCGAATCGCATTCCTCGGATAGGATCGTTAGGATTGTTCGCACTCCGATGCGGTGTTCTTGTTGCGCGCTTCTCTAATGATCTGATGGGGGACTTAATCGAGGGGGATCGGGCTTATTGGAATATTATTGCGTTGGAAACAAGAGCAGAGTTGTCTCGAAAGAGAGTTTCGAAAAGTAAGAGGTAAGAAGGAGTGACGCGTAATAGGTGATATTATGTTGTGCGTAAATAATAATGTTTATTTGAACGTACGTACAGTGGTGTTGGGAATTGAAGTGTCTCGCTATGGTCTCTGTGGATTTAAGTGGATTTCTATAGCGATGCGTGATAAACTCGATAGAAAAATTGACCACTATCGGGATTCGTGTTTGTTTAATCTCTACTCTTCCCACGGCTGATCGAAAAGCTACATGTTTATCTCTCTGTTGAGAATAAAGTAGAAAGTTTATCGGAACGTAATCGTAAAGTTACAGATAAGATTTATCGGCGAGGAAGGATCGTGCGTTCGATCGTTCGTTCGTTCATCGCATCTTGGTTGTTCCCCGATTCCTGGACCGTTTGCTTTTCGACAAATCGCAGGTACGCGATGCTCCTCGCCAGGCACAGGAGAATCATTCCTGGCTAATGATCCATCATCTCCTTATTTCAAAATCCGAGGTGGCTACTTAACGACTTTGCGGCTCCCCAGGAACGCCCACGTGCCACAGGTTGAATTGATCGGCTGCTCATTTAAGAGGGCGAATCGCCATCGTCGAGGATGAACCGAGACGGTATTTCGTTGAAATCTCGGCGAATAATTTTAATCGTATCTTTTAGTGGCGTGATCGCATCTAAAATTTTCGTCGCGTCGAATTTATTGTACAAAATTATATTTCTTGGGAATCAAATCGACCAAACTCGTCGTTTGAACATGCGATTTTAAACGCAAGAACAAAATTGAGGTTTCGTGTCGCGCATCGAATCTCTTTTGCACGTAAGAAAATTTCCACTTTCAACACATCCGAACAAGAATCACCCGTCCGTTCCCATCCTCGCGCCCAGTTTCGTTCGTTCCCTTAACGAGAACGAGAAACGAGAAGAAGAATCTCCCCGACAATGTCGCACCTGCTGCCCCTCTCCCCTCCCCGAGGAACGAGTTCTCCCATTCTCGTCACCGCGCTCTTCTCTCACCCCGATCAGTCTCGTCGGCGTCTCTCGTATTCAGGTGATTTCGGCCGGCCGTAAATTAAGGAAGAACGGGGGAAGAATGTTTAGAGGACATTATATTTCCTCGCGGCACGGTTCATTTAACATCGCCGGATTCCATCCGCGGCGGGAGGAATGCCGGGATGTCTCGGGGACGAAAAGAGTGAGAAAGAGAGAGAGAGACAGTGACGTAGTGCCCACCTTCTCGTGGAATCTCGTGTCATCTACCAGGTACTTCTCCCCTTCCCTTCCTCTGAATCATCGTCCTTTGTCTTCGGGCCAGGAGTCCTTCGTATCTGTCGGTCGCGACTCCTCTTCGACCTCCGTGCAAATCCTTCTCCATGGCTGCTGCCGCCGCGTTATCAATTATCGAGGAGGGAGAGGAGGGAGGATAATGGTGTCCGCCATAGGCGACGCGTTGTTTAAAGGGTTGTTTAAAGGGGAGAAAGAGAGAAGGAATGATGAGCGGATTTCGAGTGGAATGATGAATTTGATACGAGTTGTAATTCTTTCTTGATTACTCGATTTTAAGTTTATCGATTTGGCTTTGAAAAATACGAAAGGGAATATGTATATATATTGATGTGGAAAAATTTTGTTTTGCGCGTGTCTCGCCGATAAATCGAGCGAATATGTTTTATATTCATAAAAGTGAAAGGAATGTTTGTAATTGAAACGGTGAATTGGCTCGATCGTATGATCCTAATCTCTCTGGAAGCATGCATATTAATATTAATGGATATAATGGATTCTTTACGTAACTACGATTAAAAGAGAATAACATGAATGGGACATAGTACACCATCTAAGTCCACTTACTATTCGTGTGTTTGATTTGCAACAAGATATCCTTTCTTCGATAACTCTTCTTATCAATCCTCCAAAGATATCACTTGTTTCAAGGATGGATATATAACCGGTACTACAAACACTTCGACAAACAAAAATTAAATCTATATTATATATTCGTGTGCGCATCGCGTGTTGTAATAAAAATTTTTATTTTATATTTTCGCTTATTTACTTTACTTCTTTTAATTTAATCCTTATTATTATTATTATTATTATTACTACTACTACTACTATTGCTATTATTATTAAAACGATTTTCTTGTGTGCAGAACGGTGTGCTTCCTGATGTTCGCCGTAATTGTTCGACGGTGGATGGGGTCGTCACGGCCATAAAGCCGATCAGCTGGAAGGAGATTCGAAGCCGGTGAGTCGAGCACACTACCAACCTGCTTATTGCCCTCGTCCATTCAGGACGTGGCTGCGTCGGAGGGGTGCCCAGCCACCTATTCACCTTCCGAAACGCGTCCCTCGACCTCTTCGTCTATCGATACCGATCAAATCGATCACGATCCTTTTCAATTTTCACTTTCGCATCCGTCAGTGAAAAAATTCCACGAAATTATAATAGCAACAACATCGCGTAAAATTGTGCAAGTCCAAGTGTCGTTGTCCAATCGTTGTTCATTTACTTCTCGTAAATAATTCTCTTTCGACAATCGAAACGATTCTGCTCGCGGAGTCAGAGACATCATTTCGAACGTGGATTAATTCGAATTGTTCCAAAATCGATGTTGCTGATGCTTAAAGAATCGATGCCCAATTTCAACTTCGGTCGGAACCACGTTTCTCTAATTTCAATTTTTTTACGTTTGCACGATTTCACGAGGTCGCGTTTCCGCGACAAGGCACCGCCCTGTTTGATCTGCCCCGTTCCGATTATCCGCTACAAACTCGTACACGGGGACCCAGATCCGCGTTGGACCCAGTCGCGTGGCGGCCAACAATACCCATATTTCTCCATTTCACCGTGTAAACTTCACGTACACGACACGATAATTTGAATCACCTTGAATCCATTTCCATTGTTTTCAACGGGATAATACAATGGAGGAGACAGTGGCGCAACGATCCTATTGCGAATAACTTTTGTAAAGTTTCAAAATCGGTATCTTCGAAAGGACAATATAACAACAAAGCAACTTTAAAAACTTTCCACTTGTAAAAGAATTCTATTGCGTTTCAACTAATTCGTTACTATCCACCCATAAATAAAATCCTTTCGTATCTCTGCGAGAGGATAGCAACAAAGTGGACAAAAGGGATCCTTGCCTTTTTCATCTTTTTTCCATCTGTGAAAGAATTCTAATATTTCGTTTCAACTGTGGTTTATTATTACCATCCACCGTGGAAATTCTCCATCCCATAAAACTTTTCTAAATAAAATCCTTTCTCGTATCTCTCGTGCGAGAGGATAACGAAGAAGACGATACGACGATTCAAAGCGGTGGATCAAAAAGGAACGGATCCTCTTTCATCTTTTCCACCTGAGAGTGTAACCACGATTCAAAGTTACCAAGTGGTGGATCCCGATCGTTTAAAAAAACGCGGGCACGCGTTCGCAATTACACGATTTTACAATAACTCAATTCATTTCTCTCCTTACTACTCGTTCGTTAAGAACGCGGCAAAAAAGCGCGGCTGGATATAGTTATTGCGCGCGAACAACAGGTCGGTCCGGTCGAGCCTGTACTGTAACGACGCGTTGCAGTACACAGAGAGAGAGAGAGAGAGAGAGAGAGAAGGAAGGGCAGAAGAGAAAAAGGAAGAAACGAGAGAGAGCCGAATGATGGAATCAGGTGGGAATGAAAGAATGCGAATGAACGTGTGGAGGGAAGTGGCGAGGGCGACGAGGTTGTGCAAAGTCGAACGGTCGGAAGGGAGAGATAATGCGGGGAGGGAGAGGAGGAGACAGGGACATAATCGAAGCGTCCACCGCGGTGTTTGCCAAAGCCGAAGATATCTAATCGGCGAAACGCTTGTCGAAAAGTAAACCTATGGAGGAAACAGGGTGGAGCGCTCACATGCCGCGGGTGAAGCAACCTCTTCTCCTCGTACGCGCGCGATCTCGTCGTTTCTCGCAACGGTAGGCTTCCACGCGCGGCCCAGATCCTTCGAGGAAGGAGAAGACACCTCGACGAGGGCCTTACATATATATATATATATATATATACGCGTACCAAGGGCTTGGCTCGACTCCTCGGTGGTGGACCTTCGTTCGCGTCTCTCCTCGCGTTTACATTCACACGCGCGCGCGCCACACAAGCTCCCTTCCTCTCCCTCCTACCTTCCTCCCTCTCCCCCCCCTGGTATTGTATAATGCAACCATTGATAGCCGTCCTCTCTTTCACGCACGCGATCTGTTGCAGTCGCTGCAACCCGTGTCCGGTGACAGCGTCCAGTGTCCAGTCTCCCTCCCGGTGAGTGTCCGCAAGATTTATTTTCCCATGCGATATACGGGGTGGCTCGGTGAAAACTCGCCTCGATCCATCTCCTCCCCACCCCTCCCTCCCTTCATTCCTCCTCTCGAGATTCCACTCGTTCGCGTAAAGTGTTTTTTCCGTTCCCAAAGTGTTTTCGAGCTGTGATACCACCTGTGATACCACCTGTTTCGGTGCGGAATCGGAACAAGCATCGTCGAAGAGAGCGGAGAAGGAACGTTTCGCATCCTCCTCATGGATCCGATCGGGTACGTAGAGATCGGCCGATCGTTTCGAATCGACACGATTGTTGTTGCATCGTGTCGCAAACGCTCGCTCGCTCGCGAGCTGGGAACGCGGTGGATCGAGGGGAAAAGGAAACTGGATCGCGGCCGTGCGCGGGATAACGTCTTCCCCTCCTCCCTCCCCCTCCCTCTCTCCCCGTTAATTGCGACCGCGTCACGTTTTTTTTATCGCGTTATTTTCTTCGATCTCGAGCCGCAGGATCACTTTCCACGCCGCTTAACGAGAGGGGCCGCGATCGATTTTCAAAAGTAGGGGGAAGATTCGAGGAGGGGAGGGGACTTAAAGTTTGGACACCCGTTAAGTGGCGAGGAGGCGAGCCTCGAGTGGAAAACCGCGATTCGACGAAATTGCGTAAAAGGGGATCGAATTACGCGGGGCAAGATTCGTCGGTTAGGGAAGGGGAGAGGGAGGGGGAGGGGAGAGAAGGAATTATCTCGGCTACGGCCACGATTTACGTGTTCCTCGAACCGGTGACTCGTGTCTGCAAGGGGGAATCGATGGGAATAACGTGATCTTGTTCTTGAATGTGAATGCTTTGTTGTTTTGCTTCTCTGCTTTCAATCGACCGACTGATTTTTTTACCGCGATTTTCTTTCCTTTCGCAGAATTTTCTTCTCCTCGCTTTTCAACTCGTCGCCGGGATGATTGTGTGTCAAAATCACGATTGTAGAGAGAGCAATTGCTTAATTATTATCTTTTTGCTCATATATATTTCTTTGTCTCATTTTCATTCCGATATCTGACAATCTAACGTTTGTTTCTTCCTCTACCTTCGAAGAGTAGTAGATACAAAGATATCTTCTTCCCTGTTTCATTGTAATATTATCCTTCCCATGTTTATTTCTTTTTCGATGTTCCGCTGCTATCTGTTTCTTTTTATCGCGTAACATAAATTGGTTTTTAATATTAATCAAGCTAATTTTTGCATCGGTATTTGCACGCGCATTTTTTATGCATATTATAATCGCAGGATAGCAAGCAAATCGTCACTTTGTCGGAGTACACGAGTAAATATGTAATATAAACGAGCGGCATTGTTCAATCAATAATCAATATTCAGTATAGATATAGAAGGAGAAACAATTATTATAATCTGAGACAAATGATCATTCATTCATGTGTTCTTTGTCGCGTACAAATTTTTTTAACAAAAATATCACTGGTATACTGGTATAACAATTTAATTAGAATCTTCGTCAAGATTATAATAACGTTACGCACTTTTGCCAAGAAAAAAAAAAAGAAAGATTCGAAATTCCACAAAACTCCAATATTTACCCGGCCGTCCTAATCTCGCAAACTTTTCCGAGGATTATATTCGTCCTCGGAACGAAAGCAAACATCTGCAAGATAATTGCACGCCGCCAACCTTCAAAATCAAAAATCGACCGACTCATCGGTATTTCCCTCCTCGTACGCACACATGAAAGAGAATAAAAAAAAAAAAAATCTAAATATTACGATATCACTATATCCAAATATATTTCGCATCGAAAGCGTCGACAAACCTCTTCTCCCCCTTGTCTTTTCCCCCAATCTTCGAGAATACGTTATCTCGACTCAGATATCGCGAATCGAAATGACGAAATCCGCGAGCGCGTCCGCGTAATCGCGAATTCCCGAAAACGAGAGAGACTCGTGACTCCCTGTTAGCGTCTTCGTTTTTTTCTTTCTTTTCTTTTTTTTTTTTTTTTTTTATTTTACGAAAGGAACATTCTGTGAAGTTTTTCACGCGCGACCAATCTTCGAGAATACGTTATCTCGACTCAGATATCGCGAATCGAAATGACGAAATCCGCGAGCGCGTCCGCGTAATCGCGAATTCCCGAAAACGAGAGAGACTCGTGACTCCCTGTTAGCGTCTTCGTTTTTTTCTTTCTTTTCTTTTTTTTTTTTTTTTTTTATTTACGAAAGGAACATTCTGTGAAGTTTTTCACGCGCGACAAGAACAAAAAAAAAAAAAAAACAAGAAATCCACACGCTTGTTTGCCCTTTCAATTCGAGCGGTGCTAGCGGCGTGCCCCACCCTACCGGAAGTGGAGGAACGATGGAGCGACGATGAGCGAACGTAGCCACAATGATGTAACCGCAAGAGAAGGGATCTCTCGAATCGTCTCTCGAATCGTGCGAGATTGCGTTGTGTTCGTGAAAGATATTGGCACGTTACGAGACTACCAAGAGAGAGAAAGAGAGGGCGGCGCGTGCAAATAATAAGTGCTCGTCTCCTCCTCGCCCTCCTGTCAATAAAATCGCCGTATCGTAACCCGATAAAATGCCCCCGCGAGAGACCGATTTTCGACGGTGGGAAAAGGAGGCTCCTTAATCTTATCTTTGCGCAAACAATCGAACGATGTTCCGCGACCGGTTACCGGTTTCCCGTTGCCCGACCCGCGTTCCGCCGAGTTTTTCGAGAGAGCGGAGCCCGAACGAACGGTTCAATCCCCACCGAATCGGGGGGAATTGGAGTTGGAAGAAAATCGAGAAAGGTTTTTGTTTTTTACTATCTTGCTTGTCTTTTTTTCTTTTTTTTCTTTTATTCAAAATAGAAATCAGGGAAATCAGACGCGTTTATAAATCGTGAATGTCGAAGGAACGGTTCGATTCGAGGAAGCAAATCGAGGAGGAGAGATCGACGAATGAA